AAAGAGTATTTTGGCTGAAATAATTGCTGTTTCCCATCTTTATTTGGAACTGAGTAGCAGACAGTGAATTTCTTTGGCTTTTTTGCAGATACAGGCTTGCATAAGTTGTCAGCTGATATTACAGCCCCCTGGAAAACTGTCTGTGTCACAGAGATTGCCAGTGTTTGTGTCTTTTTAAGTTCAACTTGGTTTTCTGTTCTCACTCTCATTGTAGTAAAAGTTTGGAGTAGCTTTCTAGGCCCTTTCTCCCTGTTCAGTAATGACAGCAACTGCTTTCCTTCCTCTCTTGGTTTGTTTGTGTGACCCTGATGAGCTGCAGATTGAAAGCCTGTCTCGTGAGTGCTGGCTTTTGTGCAGACAGCTGGAATCTGTGGGGTCGAGGAACAGGGAGGGAGGGAAGTGCCTCCCAGCAACGTGACTTACTGATCTGTTTCTGTGGTGTTACTAAAATTGCCTATAACAGGCTTTATTAAAAGCAGAATGAATGTGGCTGTAGCAAATGTTGCTAGGGCTATAAATAAGTAGTTAGATACAGATTTAGTATTTGAAAGGAGAAGAGGCATAAAGTTTCTAGATGGTGAATCTGTGCTGCTTACTTGGAAATCACTTCCAGTTTGAAAGCATAAACAGGAAATGCATAGCTCCTCTGTCCCAGCAATTCTGACTAATAGCAGGGATGCACAGAGAGGATGTGTGCTGGGAGGGCCCTTGGTTTTCATGTCCTTTATCAGAATGAATGGCAATCAATATCTTCGACTCTGGAATTACTGGTCTGGAAGGGGGGATACCAGCATGTCTACCTGATGATTGAACTTTTTGGTATTCTTACCCTTATTGTGGCATTTTAAAAATAATTTTTTTATAAAGTTTTTGTATTACAGAGGAGGTTTTGTGGATGGTTGGACTTTTTCTCTTTTAAAATTTTTAATAGTTCCTGTTGGCAACTGTTTGCTGCTTTCCCTTCAGAAGTAACTTGCAGGCAAATTTTACATTAATCCAAGTTTGGCTGGGTTTGTTTTGTGTAACACGCGTTTGTTTTCCTGTTCGTTACCCCTGTGGTCATCCCTCAGCGGGTGATGTGCTGTGTTGCTGAGCATGGAAGGATGTGTGAGTTGGCAGGTGTAGGAGTGTCTGCTCTGCATGCAGGGACTTGGACTGCACCAGGCGGCTGCAGCATGCACCAGCCTGTCCCTGGTTGAACACTGAGACAGCCAGCTTCTGAACTGGCTCTTCCACCTCACCATTCCTAGATGCAGAAGCCCAGACTTCATATCACAACAACATACTAAGGAATTCTTTTTATTGGGTTTAGATTTCTGGTTTCAAACTGTTTTCTTGGGTTTTTGCTTTGGGTTTTGGGTTTTTTTTTTTTAACAGACAGAGCTTGAAAATTGCCATTAATTTTGCAAAATGTTATCAGTTTTTATTTGCTTCAGGATTACATTGTAGTGCTGCTTTGATCCTCTAGTCACAATTTCGTTTTTGCCCATGGGGTTACTTTGAAACAAGAATTCCCACTGTAATGGGAAACACTAAAGGAGGAAACTTCCCATTGCAAAAGCTTTTCTCCAGTTGTCTCCCAGCAACTTCCTCTGTTCTCGTATTTTTTCTTTTCTCCACCCCC